ATATCAGGAACAGATTGGGAATCGAAAAAGGAGGGAAATTAGTGTTCCTCTTCAGACTTTATAACGAAAATGAAGAGAAAGAGAAGTGATTTCCGTGTTAGTATTATTGAGTTTACCATTAAGACCGTTTAATTTTTAAGTTCACATATACCGTTTTCTATTTTGATTTTCATTTCTTAGAATTATTTGTGTTCTGTTTTATATTTTTTGAGTGGAAATATAAAGTTTTCCCAAGGTAATTCCAAGAGATGCAAACGATTTTAATAAACTTTTTAATATGTTTGTAATTTGTATTTTAGTATCTATATTTTAACAGATATCTTGTTTTAAACTAATGACGACTGTAAATGTATATTTTAGACAAACTGATGATGGTGGAGAAAAACACCGAAACGTATTTGTAACATTTTAAATGATAAATAATAAAATTGACTGGAATCCAGGAATTTCTTTTGAATTAAGTTGAAATACAGTTAGGAAAATATACACAATTTTTAATTATTGTTGCGGCATTGTGCAGCAAATTGTGCGTGAACGTTCGCGAATATTTGGCGCGGTATTGCGCTGTGTTCTGGACGCACCTTTAGGTGCAATATTAGTGATTTTAACTGAACTGAGATGTTTTAACTGAATGATCAACGTCGCTTTCTCCTTTAAAAATTCGCATTTTCCCAGCAAGCTTGTCTCCACAAACAATGACCATAAAAAACCCGAACCCAAATTAAAATTTATATAATTGAATTCCAAGTATTTAGTTTAAATTCATATTCAGTTCTCAACGATTCTATTTATATTATAAGCTCCAAAAAGTTTTTCAAAAATTTTTGCAAAGCGGTTAGGAATGCGAGTGTTCTAATAAAACTCATTTTATAATTTTTCACAGAAAATACCTGAAGATTGTCAGTGTTTTAAGTAAAACTAAAAAATAATGCGATTTTTGCGTAGAAAGAATTGCTTAATAGAAACTTTGTTTAAACTGAAATGAGCTGAAAAATTAGAGGAAATTTAAAAATCTTCAGAGCGATGAGGGCGGTGAATTTTCCAAATAAATTTTTGTAAACTTTTGCCCTTTGGTCGTTTCTTGAAGATAAACTTAATTAATTTCGGTGACACTTTTCGGTACACTGAATAAAATTATTTGGTTTTTGTGCCAAATTCGAAGATGAAATTAGTTTTCTAGTTCCTGCAAACCGATGAATGAGGCGAGGCGAACTTACTAGCAAAATTAATTTTCAGTAATTTTTGGCTGAAAAGACCCCATTATGGTCAGAAAAGAAGAAAATCATCAGAAAATAATGCTTTTTGTGTTTTCCATTAAAAACTTTTAGTTTTGTGATCGGTTTTGGAGAAAACCTTGATGATTTTCGGGAAAAACCGGGAGGAATTTATTTACG